GTTTATGCATCATAATCATAATTAAGAGGGGGATGTTTTTGTTGTGTTCAACACGGTAGTATATGCATATAACACTTCACGTGAGAGATAAATTGAAAATAATGGCCCTAAGATCAGGGTCAATAAATGTGTTGATTACGAATTATAGTTAGTTAAAGTTAAGGTAGAGATTTGTTACGTCTTTAACGTTAGAGGCTAGATGAGTGGTAGGTGGTCGTGGTAACATTGATATGTAGTGATTGGAGCCGAGGAATGGAGAAGATGAAAAAATTATAGGATTTTTGAATATGGAGTAATCCCTTACAGATCGAGTTGTAAGATAATAAGCCTAAAAGAGATTAATTTAAAACTACGCCTAAAGTTCTTGCAATTAAATTTGAACATGAACAGTATATCTGCTACAAGAATCAGATAATGCATGCTTTTTGTTCCATATCATTGTATCAACTTTCCACCGTGATAAAATTTGAGACTACACAATAACCAAATTAAAAAAAAGGATTAGTATTTTGGTGAGAGAAACGTGAAGGGCTTGCTCATCTGCTTGAGGATCCACCCACGGCAAGTTCCGTACAATATATAAATGTTATTTGAAAAAGAAAAAAAAAAAAAAAAGTATAATATAAAGGAGGTGTTGCTTTTCATGAAATATCAAATCTAATGATAGAAGAGTTAAAAATTCTAATACTCCGTAATTTTGAATCGCAACTCTTCAAAACCTCTATCTTCAAAAACTATGCACCTACACTCCCTTTAAAATGACTTTGAGGTCATGTACATTAGCATGGATACGAGTATATGACCTTGTGCCGTATCAAATAAAATTTTATGAAACCTTAAGGATGAGGAGACTATTAATTCGTACGGAGTATATATTAGATTTGGAATACTTTTCCCAATCAACGTATTATATTACTCCGTATTATATTACTCAAGCAACGCATGTGTTCAAGTGTGGCACGTACATTTCGATGGTAGTACAGTGTACAATACCTCCTCATATATATGGAACAATTATTTGCGGTTGTATACAGAGATAACAATTGAATTTATTTATTGTACCAAATTTAATCTTATCCGCACAAATATATGCTAATAAATTTTAACATGATAAATACTGTAGATTGATGAGGACCAAGCAATAAAATCTTTTATTTGGCCGGTGATATGTCTTAGACATACAATTATAGGGAGTACATATGAAGCATTCACGACGTAATAATTGCAATTGAATTCTAAGTGAAATAATTTGTTAATACTACTTTTGTTCAAATGGATGAAAACTCACGTAATGCTACATTTACATTTATATGCATGCTTGTTAAAGGATTGGAAATAATAGTAATGATTGATGAGTGTGAGGCCATAATTCGTTAACTCCTCAATTTGAAGTAACAATCATCTAACGTAAGAATCTCAACGACGTGTTAAGAATTAGAAATTTTTGTGTAATTATATACAAGAAAAGGATCTAGTCCCCCAATTATATATCCCAAACACGCATGCTAATTTAGTTACTTCTCTTGAATAACATCGATTTTGACTTTCAAATTGTATTGATTTTAATATTTTCTTCATAGATTTGATAGTAACGTTTTTTCACATATATTAATGCGTAAGTTGAACCATTGATATCATTAAGTTATAGATAAGATAAGTTTATAAAAAAGTTATTTCTATAATTTTCAAGACTGAACTTTGATTACAATCTCACACAATGTATTGAAAGACTACATTGTGTAAGTACTTGTGTAATAATAACTTGAACTTGAAGAGTGAAAAATCTTTCATGAATAAAAAGGAAGGGAGCATCAATCATGATGTGATTTGTGTAAAATGAAGAAAAAGAATGATGACAATGAAAATCATTCACCAAAGAATCACTTTTTGCACAAAGGAAAGTAGTATTGGAGAATTAAGGATCATTCAATATTGAAAACTTGATGTGATTGAACAAACATTTTACTTTGTTTCAAGGACATCACTAGGACAATGAAAAAAACGTAAAATTCTCAACAAAACTCGAGGCTAAAGATTATGAACTTAAATTTCATAGCAAATAAGGATACTCTATCAAATTAAATAGCACTTCACATTTCTTGTAGCCTAAATAATAATGATAAATTATGATATTTGAGCTCTTCATTTCACCTAAAGTATCTTTGTATGACAATTGGACACGTACGTACCAATTTTCCTCACAAAACAATTTTATTGATACACGTTTGGCTACATGGTTTGTGTGGTACTGCCTCTAGTAATTATATACTCCAAATGAGTTACAAATTCATAATTCGCTATAGATTTCAGAAAATAAAAATTTCGGAGAATAATTTTTTTTGTGCCTTGACATTATATACTCGAAGGTTTATTATCAGAAAATAATCTGTTAGACTAATGTCAAGGCTAAACAAGGCTCAGACCATGGCATACTTCTGAGTCTAGCTACGAGCCATGGTTTCGTATGCAGTTCGATCAGTCTTGTACAAGTGAGCAAATTCTGGAACCAATGGATCATCTGGATTTGGATCCGTCAGCAGAGAACATATTGACAGCAGAACCTACAAATTCAACAATTGCTGACAATTTTTATGGCTTATTCTTATACGAAAAAGAAAACATGACTTTATTTTGCAACTTAATCATTCAACTTTATTGTCAGCTCCCAAGAAGATTGAAACTTTTACTAAGCATCGAGATTTTATTTACAAGAACATGCTTTATTTGATGAACTTGAAGTAGGCAGATTAGTCTCATTCGCGGTGAGGTATTAAGTCAGCGGTTGCAGAATCATGTAAGAAGTTTTACTGGTGTAATGAAATAATTTGTTTGTTGTAAAACCAAGATTCAATATGGGACAAATCAACCCTTGTAACTTTTCAGTTCAAAATCAGATGTAGTTTTCAACTTTGCACAATTTTTTTCCTATGTTAGTGGGGCTGTAAGAGTGTAAGAGTGAGAGAATGATCAAAAATCCTAAGAATGAATGAAAAACAGAGAAGAAAAGAGCATGGTACTAAATTCTTGTAAAAGAGCAGCTTTGAAAGGTAGTAGGATAAGTGCAGAAATTTTAGAATTGCTCAAATATGCCAAGGCTTAGTTGGAAGTTTAAAACCTATGTTTCTAGGACTACTTCACTTCAAGTACCCATGTCAAACTCTCAACGCTACATTAGAGTTGAGAATCCACTTAATAATAATGGATCAGACTATCAGAGTAAATATTACAGGGTATATGTTATATTTCATTCATATGTAATTTGTCAGAAAAAAACAGGGATGATCACCTTGGATATGGTGAGTGCAGGGCTCCATTGCTCCTTTAGTATATCAAGGCAAATACTCCCATTGCTATTAATATTTGGGTGGAATACCTTCGTCTTAAAGGCCACCTGCAGATATATTTTATAATTTTAAGCTCGTGGTAACAATAACTATTATTGTACATCAGAAATGAAATTTAATACTCTACTTAAATTCGAGAAATAATGATATACTCGTATATAAATTACCTTAGGAGGCTTAAAGGGATAATCAGGTGGAAAATGGATGTTCACAAGGAAAACACCTCCTGCATAAGGACTCTCATTTGGACCATAAATTGTTGCTTGCCAATGGAACATATCTTATGCAATTGGACCTATATTTGTCACCAACTAGTGAGATTAGAAGCGACGAAAAAAACCCGAAAAAGATTAATGAATAAGGACTAGTTAGACAAATTAGAATTGCACATCTCATATTTTTGATTACCTGCACTGCAAGAACTAGGTGGATCTCTTTCCAGTTCCTTGAGCTCTTTTACAATTCTTCTAGATGCCATTTCAAGTTTTCTAACACAAAAAAACTGCAAAATAATAATCCAAGACTCTAATAATAATAATTCAATGCATTAGAAGTTTATATGAGAATTGTGGTAATGGAGATGACGGAAGGAAAAGTGTCACAGCTTCTGTTTACACTACTGAAAGTGGGCATAGAACAAATTCCAGAAAAAGAAAGGAACAAGGAAAGAATCCAACTAGCAAAAGTTTATAGCACACCTTCTAAATTGATACTAATAAAGTAGAAGATAGTATAAAGAGGTGCGAGCAAGCTGTTGATTACTTGATTTATATGTTCGGCAAAACTAGCTTTTGTAGCATATGTTAGCTGTAACAGTGGTTGTTAATGCTAACAATTCTTGATTATTGTAGGTGTTTAGCATAACTAGCTATTGAAATAGAATTACAATTTTTTTTTATAAAAAATAAAGGCTTTTAAAACAATAAAGGCTATCTGAAGCTAATTAACCTGTAATTTTCAAACATGATCTAAAAAATAGTTATCACTTGACATGATAACATACCCGAATAATAATATTTAACAAATTGAAATTGAATTTCGAAATATCATTTAGTTGTAGAACAATAACCTTGAGAGGTAAAAAATACAGTTGAAGAATAGAGCATACTTTTAATACAATGTTCACCACAGCATGAATAAAGGAGAAGTATGGCTGTTCTAAGTTTTTTTAGCCAATCATATCTCTAGGAATCTTGGACTAATTACTGGACATGGGAGTGAAGCATCAGATCTCCTTGCGTAACCAGTTCAAAAGAGAAAATCCCATCAACTCGATGAATCTTTTTTTATCATTGGTCCTTACAGAGAGTTTCATCTGCAACTTTGCCAGTGGAATACTGGCTAGACAGTCCCTATCCAGAATCATCTGGGATAAGGGCGACTTCGCCAGAGAATTAAAGGAGGAACACCCTTCAGAAGAACACATATAAGCCAAGCTAAGTTGCTCAGACTCTTCATTCACACCATAAGACTAGTACAGATACACTTACCACGTCATTTTAGGCCAAAATCATGAATATCCTAGTCTGCAATGCAACAGGAATTCAACAAGATAAGCACAATAGCACATATAAGCAATGTTAGTCAGAAATTAATCATCAGAAATTTGAGTCTTAACACTTGGACATAAACTCGCAATGGACACATGTACCCGAGTTCAAGTAAAATTGCATATAAGCACGCAAGCAACCAAACCAGAGGGGGCCAAGATTTCTTAAATGCTTCCAAGTTACAATTGAACATATAATACAACCAAATGCGATATTGTATGTATAAGCCTCTTAAAGCTTAGTTTACACACTTCTATTACTACATCCTCATAAAACACATAAATTTTACAGAGAACTCTTCTCTCTCTGGTTTAGAAACATTGTGAATAATGATATACATATTACAACAAATTTGAAATTAACCAATCCACCACCTGATACTGCTAATAAGAGCGAGAGCCACTCAGTTCTGTCAGTCAAACTATTAGCATCTAAAGACCATCCCACTACTCTAATATGATGATAGATGAGTAGGAAAATGTAACAGAAATGGTAAGTGGACTTCTTAGGCCAATATCTCCTTGTTATAATATTGAACAGCCTTTCTGAGACTTTCGCTTCTTTCTCTTCTTCTGCTTCGGTGGCTGGAGGACAACTTTGATTGCAGCATCAAACACAGCCTTTATGTTCTGCAATCAAAAAACCAGTAGCAAGACATGTCAATAAAAGGTTCAGAACAGCTTCAATACACAAAATTAAGCAAGCATGAAAAATCACCTGCTGTGTTTTTGCACTACACTCAATATAAGCGGCTGCTCCAATCTGCTTTTTCAGATCTTCTCCCTTAAAAAATCATTAAAACATGGAGATCCTTGTTAAAAAAGATCAGGCAACCAGAAACTAAAAGTTTTGATACAGTGTTTGCAGACATTATCTATTTACCTGGGCTGTTGTGATCGGCACTGCCCCAGGATGGTCTAGAAAAAATTGCTTATCATCTCGAAGATCTGGGAAAATAAAGAAACAGAGAAAAAAACCAAGTTAGGATGCATTAGGAGTGGACCAAATCAACAAAAAAGCCCACAGATACATGAAGTGAATTCTGAAACCCTCCCTCCCTGTAACCTTACTGGCAAGATGCTTTAGCCTATAGGGGTACATGCATGTGCCAAGTGTCGTTCATGACCATCTCTGACAGCATATTGAGTTGAAAGTTCTAGCATGGCACTATTATGATTTCTAAGACTAATTTTGTTCTCTTTGGAGATTGACTTGTCCTTGCTACATTACACTCTCAGAAGACACTTTATTTGGGTTATATGTGTGACTGGTATCATTCCTGTAGGGAGGTAGCTTATTATCTGACGGTCTCCGCCAGAATGTTAAGTTGAATTTGAATTGCTAGAACAATCCTAGTATACTGACTTCAAAATTGGCTCCGCCCTTGCCACAAATACACTTTCTCAAAAAATTAGCTTCAATCACATCCAAAAGTGACATCAAATCTCTTCCCCTCGCCCACAAAAACTTCTCAAACCCCAAAACAACTTCCTTACTTCGTGACACACTCACACCCCACTAATCACTCAGCTTTGCAATTGAAATCTCTTAATTCCATGTTAATCTGAGCATGATATGGTGGGATCATCCCCGCTTCCCAATTATGAATTAAAAAGAGGGAATAGACCACATAATGGCTTTAGTCAACAATTCAGTGGAATCAAGTATTGATCCTCCCAGCAAAGTTGCATCACAAAAGAACTCAACTTTCCAGGGATGGTGCGTTAGACATAGAACCACAAACCTTATTTTTTTCCTATTTGCTCCACATCACTTTAAAATTTGCACCGGGACAGAGCAAAATATGAAATTGAGCTCGATGACCCCCCTCCCCCCCCCCCCCCCCCCCCCCCCCCCCCCCAACCCCCCAATTTTTCCATTAGATAAAATTTCATCATTATACATTTTAAGCTATTGTTCAAAGTTTCCAAGGCAATATTTGACTTTTTTGCTTGATGCAATGTAAATAACATACCCACAATTTCCTTCACTTCTCATCTGCTCTTAAAAAAACCTCATTTTCTTGCATAAAAACTTATCCCACTTTTTTTCATAAAGATCAGTGACCAATTAGCTAGCAAAGCAACTCAGAAAACATAAAGAAGTATTGTTAAATTTCCATTCACTTTGATCAAAGATGATAAACAATCACCAGTTCATCACATACACAAGCCATTAGGTTTTGTAGATTATATCATGTTCATAGGAAAGGTGTCTAGATAAGGACTGCCTCAAAGCAACTCATTGGTCCATGTAGCTTCAAGCTCGTCAAAGTACACATTAATCCTCAGTTTGTTTTCTCAGAGTTGATGTCGTTGAAAGGCATCACTCTAATCTCTAAGCATGAGGAATGAATACATGCAAACAATAAGGAAATCACATGTGCCCATATGATCCACAATATGGGGAAAGACTAGTGAATTAGCTTAAGGGGAAGGGTCGTCTAATTAGTTGTTAGAAATAAGTTAGCGTCTTAGCGGCAGCTTGAGCAACAAGAGGAGGGGAGTGAGTTAGTCTATATATATAGAGGAGTTTAGGAAAACATAAAGCAGGTTAAATATTGATGAGAGTTTTGTGTTGGTTGAATAGTGATGTTTTCCTCTTAAGAGTTTTTACTGCCACTCTGCAAGACACCATTGGGGTTCTCATAGGCAACATTTACAGTCTTTAAAACAGGAGACCACTTGTGAAGAAGACATTCCTATCTTCTTTCTAGATTTTCTACAGGTGTCCAGAACCAATACCCTCCATAATCTATTTCCTTTTCTAAGACCAATCAACCTCACACTGGTATCATATACTGGCCTTTAGATGATCCAGTCCAACTCTCCCCCCTCCCCCCCCCCCCCCCCACACACACACACAAAAGAAAGGGAAGATAAAACTAGTTTGAACACACAAAAGAGGGCTGGAATACTCTCAAGATTCTTTGTTAGAGTATTCACTGGAAGCAGATTCCCACCTATGCCTGTTAAAAGACCTTGAAATGTTTCCCACCATTTCCTTTCAATGCCTAGGAAAATATACATCTTTAAAAAGCATCTGCTAAGGCTCCTCGGATCTCATTCATTCATGTCTAGGTGGGCATATGGACCCAAAATGTAGCCTCAAAGTATAAATACAAATACGAATTATCTCCATAAGCTACTAAGAGTTCGGTGTCAAAATAACCAATATGGATTCAGAGCAATCCAAGGGGTCTACAGTAGCCAGGAAAACTCCATCTGGTCTCCCCCCTAGTTTGAGCAGAAACTTAACATTAAATCTGAAAATGATTCCCTTAAATTTTTATTTTTTTTCTTTTTAAGTTAGGTTGCTAATGCTAGAGGAAAGAGATGGGAAATACCTAAATTTTTGAATCAAACCATTTCATACAACAGTTTAGAGGGTGCTTGGAAGTCAAGCGAGAATTCCGTAACTTCTATCAAGACTTCACATTTCCCTCCTTCCACAATATTTGTCTTAATGTGTGTATTTCCCTACAATAAACTTATATTAAGGATGACAAAGAGTTTTGGAAATGTTTACCTATCCCCATACAAGTCCACCACAAAAGACTCTCCTCTTAACTCTTTCAAGTTCAACTCTATCATCTTGTTCTTCCATTGTCTATATAGTTCAATAAATCAAATATGAAAAACATAGCTTATTTTTTTCTAAGAAAAAATTCAACACTTTAGCAATCATTCTTTGAGTTTCCATTTGTAAATAAACACAAGGTTCCAAATCAAACATTCTTTTTTCATCCAAAACTTAAGTAGGAGTGTAGGACAATGAACTTTTGACAGGAATTCAAATGGCATTCTAGAGATAGATTCCAGAAGATAGTAACTCCACTATCCCCAAGACCCAACCACCTACTTAAATAGAGGATATAGTTGGACATATTAAGCAATCTTCATTAACAGCTACAAAACAATTCTTTTGCGATCCTCAACAAAAATAATTGTCAACTCTTTTAAATTAAAAGTCGGGTCCAATAGAATGCTAATATTTTTTCCGCAAAAAATAATTGTCAACCATGTGTCACTATTGTAGAGTAAAACAAAGAAAAGAAGCACAAGATAGAGAAACAGGCAATACAAGATATATTATAATCTGTGGACAAGGTATAGCATTATACCTAGCTTTGTTCCAACAAGAATAATTGGCACACCAGGAGCATAATGCCTCAATTCAGGAATCCACTGAGATTATTAGACAAAGGAGACAGACATCAAGAGGATGCACTCTGAACTCTGGAGATTATCTTACAAATACAATTAATAGGATATCTTACTTTCTTCGAAACGTTTTCATAACTGGCTTTGCTGATAAGAGAAAATGCAAGAAGAAATACATCGGCCCCTCTATAGCTCAATGGTCTCAGTCTATTGTAATCTTCCTGACCTGTCATAAAATAAACCAAAGATCAGAACATATTCACCCAACATTCCATCAAATTGGAGAGACAGTACACAGAAGACATACCAGCAGTATCCCACAACCCTAGATTTACTGTGCTCCCATCCACTACCACATTGGCGCTGAAATTGTCAAACACTGTTGGTACATAATCCTGATCAAGTAAGGAAGGAGACAAATATTAATACATCTTTTCATAGCATCCATGGAACAAAGAAGACAGCGTCTATTTGATGCACGGAAACATTATACTGTAAATCCAACAACAGTAGAAAAAGGTTTTTGAAGATTTGGCAAGTAGCTTCTCATCTGTACAGAACAGAGGATATACAAACACGTGATCTCAGTGAGTTTTAAACCTACTCTTCCTTCAGAAAAATAAGCAGTACCCCCCATATAGACAATTAAGAAGAGCAAGATAAAGCTCCAATCCATACCACCCCACACCCAGGTTAAAAACAAAATATTAAAAGAGCTACTGCAACTCTTCGTCTATACTAGTAAGTTGTAACATCCAAACAGCAAATTTGACTACGTTGTACCATGCAAATGTTATATGCAAATTGGAAAATTTAACTTGTTCTATTCTTTCAAAATTTTAAGAGACTGGGTGGTTGCAGTTTGGTGCTCAGCTTTTGCTCAAAGGGAACGCCACATGAGTAAAGAGACTTCCTTTTTTAAGTAAAACAATGAGTTTCCAAGCAGCTACTTCACAAATGCCCTTTACAAAAGACCACAAGGGTCAAGTTGAAGCCTACATGACATTTGTCCTCCATTTCAGAATTCAGATTATCTGGCTCTTAAGTTTTTATGTAACAAATGACTTGATATATAAAAACTATATATAGTTCGAGTCTACTAATACCTAGCATTGTGCACCTTTAAAAACTTATTGTCACCAAAACTTTGTCAGTTGTCTATCTTTAACATTGTGCTTAAGAAACCAAGGATTTTATCATCAAACACATGGAGTCGATGGAGAGTACTATCAGCGCCGATGAAAAAAGAACAAGTAGCAATGGACGACCAAATTCCAACAAACCAAATCTCAATTCTATGCCTATATAGCTCCAATGAGAAATCATAAACAATACTACTCTTTACATGGTCGGCAAAATATTCGAGCAACTCACGGGTGATGGGGGCTAAACAATAAAGACTTCAGGGTTTCGACAATTTCAGGAACGAAAAATCATAAACAAAAACTACCATTTTCACTATTAAGATTAACCACCTACTACATTGTCATTTCTCATACAAAAAGTAACCCACCTTCAAACCTCTCCAGAGTTAAGGCCTTTTCCTTAAAGAGATCAAAGCACAACCCAGATAACAAAGAATCACATAACAATCAACTACCACAAGGGTGATTCAACTAGCTTAACAGCTAAAATTAACAGTCTTTATCTGATCATAGTTTTAGTGAAAATATATAAATTTAATTGCAATGAACAAGCAGGTAAGAAAAATTGCGATTATAATAAAAATTAATTAATAAAAAAAAAACCCATAAAAACTCAAATAAATTAAAAACCCATGAAAGAAAAACACAGCAAATTGAAAGCCATGAAACTCAAAATACAAATTTAAGGAAATTCAAAAAAATGAGGGAAAAATAAAATAAAATAAAATAAAAGAGGGAAAACTTACAGTGGGGAAAGTGTTACTGGTGTAAGAGATAAGCATACAAGTTTTTCCGACGGCTCCGTCGCCGACGGTGACACACTTAATGAACCTAGAAGCACTCATTCTATTACCGGCGCCGGAAAACTCAACAACGGCGTCGTAAAACTCCTTTTGTTGCTGCTATTAATTTCAAATGCTTTTGAAATTGAAGGGTACTTTGCTTTAGTTTATCATCAAATCTAGGCGCATTTTTTTTACAAAAAATAAAAGCTTGAAAAATGGTCAAAAGCGACGAAGAAAAAGTGTCAATGAAGTAGAAGCAGCAGTTAACATTTGAAGAGAGAGAAAGAGTTTTTACCTTGGGAATTTGGAGTTTTGAGGGATTATGAGAGTATTGAAGAAGAAGACAGATATTCACAACTTTTTATTTATTAAATTAATTTTGTAACAAGAACAAAAAAAATTAAATAACGTTTGCTTCTTTAATTTGCTTTTTGTATGTAAGGTCTTCAAATATTGTACCCAACCCAACTCACCCACCAATAAGCTACCCACTCCAATTATATAACACACTTGAACCAACCCATTTCTAGATTTTGAATTTGAATTTTTGATTTCATATCTATTTAAGTTGAAGGATTTGGTTTTGTTTTCAAAAACTTTGGAGGGATGGGATCTTTAATTCTTGGACATATATGGATAGATGCATATGTGACATGATCTCGATTTTTCAAGAAATTAAAATCGTTGTACGTAGCATCAAAGTATATTGGTTGACATGTATAGTTTTGGTATAAAGCCATATGTTAATGCATGTGAAACATAAGATTAAATTTGTTAACGGCTTATATAGACAAATTAGTGATTATAATGACCAAAAAACTTAAAAATTAAGGATTTGCTATCATGATACTTATAACCCGTTTAATAGTATAGTAATAAATGAAAGCAGTGAAAATAAAGTTTTGTATAAATCGGAATTGAGTCATATATCAATGTCTATGTCAAGTTCATTCCAACTATCATTTTTCCCCTTCAAGAATTTAAATATTACCACTTGAGATTTGAAGAGTGGTATTGAGTGTTAATACAAGTTTAGGAATGAGATTTCATTATCAAGATAATACTATGGATTGAATCGTTACATTTACAACAATAAATATGCATTAAATAATAAATATATTCTTACAATAATATTGAGGTAAAAAGTTATGACAATAATTATGCATTTATCAATGCTATTAAATGTCTAGCATCATCTATCTAATGCCAGAATGCCTAGAGGAGACATTTGAGTGCAAAATTATGAAACTATTAACTTCATGACAAAAACACGCGCAAATCGGTGTAATTAGTGTGTTTTTGTCATGATTTTCTAAATTTAAACAATTTTCAAGAGTAAATTAAATGCTTATATGTAGCCCTTAGGGTTATGTATAGCATTTTCCATAAAATAATACCTAGAGGTTGTTTGGTTACACAAAGAAAATGGGGGAAGTGGAAAATCATGGGAATTTGCAAATAGTTGAGTTGTTTTGTTGACAATAAAAGTGTAAATGAGATAATTACAAATTCATGGGAATTGTGACTTCCCATAAAATATGGGAAGTTAATTACCTAACCCCCCCTAGGTAAGTCAAAATTTCCATAATTTGCAACTTCCTTCATGCCAACCAAATAATTTTATACAATTCCCATGAATTTGATGTAGAAATTTAATTCCCATGAAATATAAATTCCTATGGAAAGTAAATTCCCATAGCAACCAAACGACACCCTAATGCTTTAAAGTCAAGCTAACACACATTATGTATAACGTAGTTTATTAAACTACAAGTAGACTTTAATGTTAAGGTTAGATGGAAAGTGACAACTAACATAAATAAATAATGAAGCATATTATGGAGTATTAATTAAGAAATATTACATTCATTACTTAACAATTTAACACATAGTAAAATATTACCACTGAGAAAAATAGATATGTGGCGTTAGTTCATCATATTATATGCCTTATTTATGAAGCGAAGATCGAATTTCAATTTGCAAAAGCACGAGGAATCTTGACTTTTAAGAACTCTAACCAAGCTTATTATAGTATTAGACTACTATTCATATGTACTGTATGCATATAGGTTAAATTTAGGTATCATTTAAATTGCAACACAACAAATTTGCATAATTAAACTAATTAGGTCAGCGACATCATAACTTCATTTGTCATACTAGATTAATATTTTCTAGTTTATGTTGTCACTTCCTAGGAAGGAAGTTCAAGGAGAGTTGAATTTCAAGAGCAAAGTTGTTGTAAAGGAAATAGTAGTTTATGCATTTAACTTTAATGATTAAAACCTACTAATTGATGATGAAATATACAAAAATTGATGTAATTATAAGATGTATATATATAGCTACTCGGTACAAATTTTAGAATAATACTATGTCAAAATGACGAAAACTAATAGTTAAATAAGAAAAATACAAGTATCACATAAATCAATATGACTTACAAAATATTATATTAAAACATATGGATAGACGACTATCATATTTTGTAAAAATGACAAGTAGTTAGGCTCTACTATTCAAATTAAGAAAATAATTGATGGAAAATAAATTAAGTTCAACATAAATAAACATCGCAATCATATTTGAGATGTTGCAAAATTAACTAGATATCTTGTTCTTTGAAAGTATATTGAGGGTATTTAGAAAAGAAAATTACAGAGAACAATCTATTCAGAAGAGCTCCAAATGAGTAAAAATAAAAAAGTCTTAGGTGCATTTGTGTATGGTACACCCAAACATAGGCAGAAATAACAAGAGACAACTAGACAAGGGGATAAAAGGAGGGGGGGTGGTGTTAAGATTTGTCATGCAAAAAGAAACAATATGGTTAGGGGTTGTCCTCCTTTCTTTCCCCTCTTGTGGTGAAAACATGAAATGTAGCTAGCTCTTGCTTTACATCTTTTCAAAGTTTCATTTATCTTCAAATAGTAACCCAAGTGTGGCACATACAATCCTTCGAAATTTCAAAACTTTAATTTCAAAAAGTTCCTTCAGAAGTTCAGATTTTTACAATAGATTACTTCTTTCAGGTGTCAACCTTAGACTAAGATGCCAAAAATGGACTATGCTTCCACTCCAATGAGTATATTATGCCAACCATAATCGGGGTACATAGTGCTCATTGCTTGCTTACAGTACAAAACAATCGTCCTCTGAGCTGACATAATCTAATTCAATCATCTTATATGTATTCTCCTTGAGCTTCTGAGATGAAACCTTCCTTGGCTCTGGTCTCACTCTTTTTGAATCTGGTAGCGAATTTTTTTGCGTGACAGATGAGCCTGAAATTGATGAGGGCAGCGACCTGAAAAGTGGGAAAATCCCTTAGATCCACATACAAAAAAAAGAGGCAAGAACTGGCAGAAAACTGTACAAAGCTTATTTAGTTAGATGGTTCCTTCTGAAGAGGGGCACTCTTGTTTACAGTGAAGTTGGGACTGTTGTAAATGATATTTTTCACCTTGCTCATTTATGCTCTAAGCTAAATTTCTCTTTTGTTAGGAGAGAGGGTAATAGAGTTGCCCATAAATTAGCTAATCTTAGTAGGGATTTAGTTTGTTAAAGGGTTTGGATCAAAGAGATTCCCCCTGCTGCTGGTGCTATTGTAATGTCTGAAATTCCTTAAGCTATAAAATCAGTTACTTGCTGTCAAAAAAAGAAAAAAGATGGTTCCTTCAGTACCTTTTCATTGAGCCTCCCTTCGCTTGGTTTTTCTGAGCATTTTCACTTTTTGCTGTTTTTGCACTCATACTGACTGCAAGTGCAAGGAAAAAAAATTAAGCAAGTTAGAGAAACTGTAAGCATGTGGACTTCCAAGTACGAGAGCACTGAGGAAGATTACAAAACCTGTTATTTCATTGAGAAATCTTATCCCTTGAGAGTGTGAATTTGTCGTCACATGACCTGCATTGCTGTTCAATTAAAGAGAAATAAGTTCTTTGCATATTTTGGTGTTATTAAATTGCAATAACCCTTTCAGCAATATGGTTGCTTAAGGATTTGTTTTCAACCTTTTTTTTCCCTCTGCTCTATGTGCAGCAAGGAAAAAATCAAGTGTTTAAAATCCCCCCTATGATTGTCATATCTGATGAGGCAGAGTGAATTGAGTTCAAAAAATTATTATCACAGTATACATTTATCTACAATGATGCAAAAGAATGTAGAAGAGACAGATGCAATTTGGCCAACTTTTAATACCTCAAGGCTTTCTTTAATCCGTCAACGGACAACACCTTTGAAGATTTAGACTTTTTTCTATTCGCTTTGTCTGCCATTGGATCGAACATATAAACTCCTTCTGGTTGACGTGGATTCCTGAAAGCTGTTCTTAGATTCCTAGAAGAAAAGCAGAAAAAACTTATTAGCGCAAATTATAAGCAAGGAAATAGTGCTCATACGATTAGGCCTTCCAAATCCCTTCAATAACAAAAAATAAAAGGATTACAAGACGCACAAAGGAGGCAATGAGCTAGATTCATCAGTCAAACAATATATGGAGTAATTTAATTTGGGCTGATAGAGTATAAAACATATTCCTGGGCCTCAACCATGAGCTTAAACTGTTGGTTGAGTTGGTCCTTTAACATAATATCAAAGCTAGCGTGACACAAAGGTCACGGATTCAAATCTCATCCACCCCCCACTTTCAAGTGAAATATTAAGCGCATGAGTATGAGAGCCCATGTTGCATCCACACTTCAAGCCCAACAGGCTTCCGTGTGAAGGGGCGTGATAGTGTATAAAACATATTCCTGAGCCTCAACCATCAGTGGCTTCAACTTTTTATTGAGTTGGTCCTTTAACATGCACTATTGAGTCAGATGAAAGGAGTAAAGTGCAAATTTGAAAACGCTACAGGAGATTCATGTTCTCAAATGAAGAGAGAACTCAGCTCTAGTTAGTTCGGTAAATGCAAAAACTCCTCATACGGCAAGGAAAATTATAAGCAAGAACTCAGCTTACCCTCCTTTGAGCTCACCACGTTGGACAGTGTATTTCTCTGATGTTTTCTGCATGAAGAGTTCCATAAAACCAATTATGAATTACTCAGTTCTTATTTAATATATATAAAATAAATAAATAAAAAAAAATCAGTCCATATTTACAGCTCAAACTTACCACTCTATGGAAGCTGCAGTATATTCCAAGGCGTCTGAAATCATAGAAGGAGAATCAATTACTGTTCACACTTTGTAAGCTAACTAACAGTACCAAATTCAATAGCAAATCGAAGGGACTTAAGCCAATGTTTGATAAAGAAGATTTAGCAAATCAGGTAAATAGCAAGACAAAGAGTGGAGTTCAAAAGGTTTACGAGTTTTATATAAGAGATGCAAAAGAAGGCAACCACATAACATACAATAATACAGAACTTCTTCCTGATCATGAGTATTGCCGTACTGACAGTTAAAATCCAAGCCTATCAGAGGAGGAGAATCAATTCCATAATGATGATTGGAGATAAGTGCAGGGCCTTGTACTCTCATTTAGATAGCATGAAGTAAGAGTTTCCTACAACCCTAACGTTTTAGTAACCCAATTACATGAGAGCTCATTGCATAGATCAATCAATCTGTTACCCTTTTAGGTTAGTGTGATTTATGCATATAATGAGGCCAAGGAGCAAAGCAAGCTAGGAATTTCTCTAGGTGAAACCATAACAGGGAAGTCATTACAAATTTAGGCTGAAGCAAGGGGAATAATTATATCCTTTAAATAAGCAATAAACTTTGACTATTGCAGCATTCATCATTATTCTACTCCGTATAAACCATTGTCAATTATTCCAGCTCCAATATGCAACATTAGCTTAAAATTATAAACCAAATCAATTTATCAAGTATCCCAGCCCTACTGTAGCTCATAGACTACAGGAGTACAGGCCATTTATATTAAACATAACACAAAACAGCTAAGAAACAACATGCTTGGGCATTGCTGTCCCAAAGGCAACATACTTATTTACTACAATTGAACAAGGCACACCATCTTTCCTTCGTCCTATGCAAACTCCATAATCAATAGAAGTACCAATCTTCAAGATTTGATTTGCATTAAAAACACTCAATTGGAAACCCGAACCCTGCATAGTGCAAACACACAACAATTTATCAAACTCACAAACTACTAATTTAACAATGATAGAAGCTACTTCAATTGCAAATGACAATTTCATACAGAAGAATCTTTGCGAACACCGGCATTGAAGAAGGCAAAAACTGTTGAAGCTGTCTCTTTGCTGTGCTGCTTGTAAGCATCACCAAACAAGAAAACAGTTACAAGCTGCCCATCCAAACACCCAATCTTCCATATGCTATAGCTCTTCCCAGTAGAGCTTGTCTTTGGACTTCCCTTTTCGGTTAAAACGCCAACAGTTGCCCAACTACCTGATAGAGTGTCCCCTTTAATCACATTCCTATTAACACCAACACATCAAAATCCAAAGTTAGCAGCTTCTTCTCACACAATGATGCCTAATACTCAATCATTCTCTAGTTAAAGGGATTACTTTATGGTAGACAATCGGACAAATCGAATATCTGAAAACTGGTTGCTCAGCTCTGCTGACGAAATCACTTGATTCCTGTATCAACCACTCAAAAAAAGGGTCAATTTTTTTCCTATAATTATTCATAATTAATCCCAATGACCAAAAATAATCAAAATACTAGTTGGGGATATTCTAGAATAAGCATACCGGATTCGAAGACCGGAAAACTTTTCAACATCAAGATCAGTTGGCTTTTTTGAATGATTTGATTTGAGAGCCTTCGTAGCTGTTTCAACATCATAATCCATACAATCCTCAACTGCAGTCTTGAAGGCAGACAAGTCCACATTTCCACTTGGCCGTCGCACTTCATCGTCTGATTGATACCCTGCAAAATTACACTCATTCAAGCGATGCCCAGATAAAAATGAATTGAATGAAATATAAAAACCCTAAAATCAGAATGCCTGCCAAGTGTTTGTGTAAATGCGTCAGTGAAAATTGAAGCAGATCAATGCAAATCTCAAATACCCATAAAATGAAAGAAGAAAAATTATAACTTAGATTGTAGAAAAAAAGTGATATATTCGAATTTAACAGAAATTGATTCAAAGAAAGATTGATTACCAGGGGATCTGGAGTGAGAAGAAGACGGAGAAGGAGGGGTTTCAAGAACACGATCTTGAAGAGAGAGAAGGAGATCGAGGTCATTTTGATTCTCAGTTGACATGGTTGCTGCTTCTTCTTAAGAGATCCTAAAACGATTTCCCGAAAAAAAATGGAACTTCAGATAGTTGCTGGTTTTAATGGTGATAATTTTGCAGAAATTGGAGGGAGAATTCATGTTCGGCGGGATTTTTGAAATCGATGGAAAAATTTAGAGCACTATTGACGATACTAATACTAGACTACTAGTAGTAGTGTGCAACACCAACGGTCCCATTGGCCCCATAAGTCACAAGCTCAGAACAAGCCAAGGCTCAAGTAAAGATAGTTAAAAACTGATCTAACCAACCTAATTCGATTTGATTCAAAAATACACGATTTAAATTTAGACTCGCATGAACACAATAATTTAGCATGACTTAACTTTTAAATACACTCAATTCGACCTGATCGACCTCACTGAACTCGACTCTAGTACCTGAATTTTACACACTTCCAAGGCTACATCGTCATCAATGACAATCAAGCACACACTTCCACCGACATTTGTAGTTAGTTACGGAGTAATAGAGTAATCTAAAGAGCATAGATGAGCCATAATATGGATCGCTTCATTAGCCTCTCTTAATACATGAGAAAATATACTTTTAATTTTGTTTCATTTTTGTTAAGAATTGTGTAACAAATTAGTAGTACTCTGTTTTAAATTAGTTTCTCAATTTTACCTTTTCATGGTTTATTACTTAGGAAATACAAGTATCATTCACAGATCACTTACATTACATATTTAGTGGTAGCAATGGATTTTTTTTTAAAAAAATTCAAAGTTTATTACGACAATTTTGACAAGAGTTTTCTTCTATATGTTCATGAAAAATGTGGTGAACCTTGTGTTGGAATTGATAGTGCGGAAGTGTAGTGGGTTTGAATAATTTTGGAGGAAATATTGATGTTGAAGATTTTGTGAAATGGAGACTTGTATTATATGAATGAGATTGTTGTGTTTTATTATTCATCTCAACATGTTACATGTCATGGTATTTATAAATGTCTTACAACTCTCCAGATATTTCTAGCTTTGGTTAATCTAGATTTTTCTAAGATATTTTCTCCTAGATTTTTTCTTAGGTAGCTTCTACACACTTTAGATATTTTTACATAGATATTTTTACATAATACTTCCTAGATTTTTCTAGACTACTTTTAGATATTTATTTTACAAAATATTCTAGGTTTTTCTAGATTAATCTTTTTTTTAACACTCCCCCTTAATCTTGAAAAACTTGAACACCGAGTTCTCTTCGAAAATGGAGAAATTTATCTGTTGGAAGTGCCTTGGTAAAGATATCTGCGAGTTGCTCTCCTGTCTTGCAGAATTGTAGCTCGATCTCTTGTTTTTCGACCAACTCTCAGATGAAGTGGTGTCGTATCTCGATATGCTTCGTACGACTATGGAAGACTGGATTCTTTGTCATTGCTATGGCTGACATATTGTCACAGTAGATGGTGGTTGGACCTTCTGTATCTTGTTGTAGATCTTTTAGAATCCTCCTTAGCCAAACTGCTTCACATGCCGCACTTGTTGCTGATATGTATTTTGCTTCTGTTGATGATAGTGCTACTGTTGCTTGTTTCTTTGATGACCATGAAACAGACTTGGATCCTAACTGGAACACGTACCCACTTGTGCTTCTTCGATCATCGATGCTTCCAGCCCAATTGCTGTCTGTGTAGCCTGTGAGTTTGTAGTCGATTTCAGACTTGTACATGATTCCATGGCTTTTCGTTCCTTTGATATACCGGAGAATCCTTTTTGCTGCTGCTAAGTGAGCTTTGCTTGACTCACTCATAAACCTTGATATGATGCTGACTGCATGAACAATGTCAGGTCTTGTGTTTGTAAGATAAATGAGAGATCCGACCAAACTTCGGTAGAATGATGCATCCACTTTTTCCTTGCCATCATTCTTGGAGAGCTTCTCATTTGTAGCCATTGGTGTAGCCATTGGCTTACAATCTCTCATGTTGAATTTCTTAAGCATATCTTCTGCATATTTCTCTTGTGAGAGAAAATTCCTTCCTGGGCTTTGCTTCACTTGCATGCCTAGGAAGTACTTCATTTCTCCGAGGTCTGTCATTTCATATTCTGACATCATTGATTTCTTGAACTCTTCTATCATCCTCGGAATGGTGCCTGTGTAGATAAGATCATCTACATATAGGCATAAGATCAGAAAATCTGACCCTTGAGTCTTGATATAGAGTGATGGCTCACTTGGGCTTTTTGTATACCCATTTTGGAGAAGATAATCATCAATTTTACTATTCCATGCTCGAGGAGCCTGCTTGAGCCCATAGAGGGCCTTTTGAAGGCGATATACCTTATCTTCTTTGCCTTCGATTATATATCCTTGTGGTTGTTCAACATATACCTCTTCTTCTAGCTCCCCGTTGAGAAATGCTGACTTGACATCTAATTGATAGACTGGTAACTTGAATTGTGCAGCAAGGGCGAGAACTGACCTGATTGTCTCCATGCGAACAACTGGTGCATATGTCTCGTTGAAGTCGATGCCAGGCTATTGTGAGTAGCCTTTTTCTACGAGACGTGCCTTGTGTTTTTGGATGGAGCCATCTTCATTGAACTTGATCTTATAGACCCACTTGAGGCCTATAACTTCCTTATCTTGTGGCTTCTCCACGAGCTTCCATGTGTTATTCTTCTCTATCATGTTGATTTCCTCGTTCATGGCGTTGATCCATTTTTCTTCTCTGGCAGCTTCTTGAAAGTTTTGTGATTCGCCTGCAAAGAGTGCCATGATTGCATGATTGCATTGATAGTCTTCTAAGTAGCCTGGGGGACGCCTTTCTCGATGTGATCGTCGTACTTCTGGTGTTGGACTTGATTCTGATGTTGGACTTGAGCTTGGTGGTGATCTTGGACTGCATGATGGTGATGGACTTGCAGATGATTGTGTTGGTGACTAACTTGGGCCTTCACCTTGATCTGGACTTGTTGTTGGAATGCTTGCTACTGGGACTTCAGAATTATTCTCGTTCCATTTCCATTGTGCTCCTTCATCGAAGATGACATCTCTTGAGATGATCAACTTCTTGGATTCGGGCTGATAAAGACGATATCCTTTAGACTCGTCACTGTATCCAATAAAGATACATTTTTCTCCCTTTCCATCTAGCTTATTCCGATTCTCCTTCGGGATGTGGGCATATGCGATGCACCCGAAAACTTTGAGGTGCTCAACTCTTGGCTTTTCGTTTGTGCCAAGCTTCATATGGTGTCATGCTTCGTATTGCTTTTGTGGGAGATCTGTTGAGGATGTAGACAGATGTGTAGACTGCTTCGGCCCAAAAATATTTAGGTAGATTTTTTCCTTGCATCATACTTCGGGCCATTTCAGCAATTGTTCTGTTTCTCCTTTCCGCAACACCATTTTGTTGTGGTGTGTGTCTGGTTGTGAGCTCCTTTTTAATTCCTTGTGCTTTACAAAATTTGTTGAATTCATTACTTGTAAATTCTCCCCCACGATCGGTTCGTAGAACCTTTATTGAATGCCCACTTTGTTTTTCTGTGAGGGCTTTAAATTGCATAAAGTGGGATAATGCTTCTGATTTTTTCTCCAAGAAATATACCCACATCATGCGTGAAAAGTCATCTACAATCAACAGAAAGTATCTTTTTCCACCAAGAGATGGATTCTTGGTAGGGCCCCAAATATCTGCATGGACAAGTTCTAATGGAGCTCTGGCCCTCCAAGATGAGGTTGGAAAAGGTAATCTATGCATTTTGCCATAGATACAACCCTCACAAATTTTCTTTTCATTAGTGATTGGTGGTAGTCCAATCACCGTTTCTCTATTTTTTAACAGTTTTAAACTGTCAAAATTTAAATGCTCGAATCTCAAATGCCACAAGGTGGATTCATCCATTATTGAAATTAGGGCAGTATTAGATTCCAGTTTCATTTTGAGTGGAAATATTTTATTAGGGGCCATTTTGGTAGTAGTGATTAATTGCCCTTTTTTCTTATCATATATGTGGCATTGATTATTGTCAAATTTTACCACATAGCCCTTTTGGACTAATTGGCCCACGTAACAGATTTTGTGCAAGTCCAGGGACATAAAAGACATCGGGGATGAATTTAGAGGAGCCATTTTTTGTTTTAACAACAATTGTCCCTTTTCCGACAACTTCTTGCTTACTCCCATCACCAAGTGTTATTTGTGATTTTATATTTTCATCAAGATTGACAAATGAATTTTTATTGCCGGTCATGTGGTTAGAACATCCACTATCTATGTACCATAGATCATTTTTCTCTTCTTGAGCATTTAAACATGTATAAAATATTTTATCATTATTTTCTGTGAAATTTGACTCTTCTTTTTGACGAAAATAACAATCTTTTTCAAAATGAGAGTGTCGTGTACATCGTTTGCATTTGTATCGACAATCTCTTGTATTATGGCCATCTTTCTTGCACAATGTGCAATAAGAATTATTATCTCAGCTCCCTTGATTTTTATATTTTCCTCTCCCTCTACCACGGTTGTTAAAAAATCCTCTTTTTGGTTGAAAATCTTTTCCGTGACCATTTTTATTTCCTCCATTATTAGAAAACTTTAATTTAGCTTGAAAAGCTTGTTCTAATGGCTGCTCATCAAATCTACGTATTCTTTCTTCATGAGCTAATAGAGAGCCCATTAGCTCAGTTATGGTGAGTGATTTTAAATCTTTATTAGATTCTTCTATAGCAGCCACTATGTGATCAAATTTTTTAATAAGAGTTCTTAATATTTTTCGAATTATTTTCACATCATCAATTGTGTCTCCATGAGATCGAATTTGATTAACAATGTTTGAGACTCGGTCAACATATGATTGAATTGTTTCATTTTCTAACATTTGTAAACTATCAAATTGACCCCATAAAGATTGAAGTTTAAAGAGTATTACCTTTTCCGAGCCTCTATATTTTGTCTCCAAGATATTCCATGCTTCTTTTGCCGTTGTAGCGGCCATGATCGTAGGTAGTATTGTTTCATCTACGCTACGATAAATTATGGAAAGGGCATAATGATCCCTTCTTTTGTTTTGTTTGTATTGGGATTTTTTAGTATCATCCCAAGAAGCCTCTTCATCAGCATCTTTGGGTTTCTCATATCCATCTTCAATAATTTCCCATATATCTTGGGTTATAAAGATGGATTTCATTTGCATACTCCATTGATCAAATTTCTCCCCCTTAAATGAAGGTACCCAATTAACTTGGGGATTAAAAAGATTTGTGTTTGTGTTTGAATTTGGAGTAGGAGAGGCCATTTGAATTGATGTGGGGTTTGTATTGATATGGAGTTTGGATGTTGGATGAAAGTTGGAGGCTTTGGATTAACTTTGCTCTTGATACCAAATGTTGGAATTGATAGTGCGGAAGTGTAGTGGGTTTGAATAATTTTGGAGGAAATATTGATGTTGAAGATTTTGTGAAATGGAGACTTGTATTATATGAATGAGATTGTTGTGTTTTATTATTCATCTCAACATGTTACATGTCATGGTATTTATAGATGTCTTACAACTCTCTAGATATTTCTAGCTTTGGTTAATCTAGATTTTTCTAAGATATTTTCTCCTAGATTTTTTCTTAGGTAGCTTCTACACACTTTAGATATTTTTACATAGATATTTTTACATAATACTTCCTAAATTTTTCTAGACTACTTTTAGATATTTATTTTACAAAATATTCTAGGTTTTTCTAGATTAATCTTTTTTTTAACACCTTGACTCTAAATAGCCAAATAAAACAACTAATTTAAGATTAAGAGAATATAATATTGTTTTTATGCAAACTTTTACCTAGTAATTCACAAGTTCATAAAGAAGAGAAAAGAGAAGTAAAAGGGCTAAGAAAATAGGTTGACATATTTGGAAATGTTGGACCAATAATAGATGCAACAAGATTTTTACTTTTAATCCGTGAAGTTCTTGTTGTTATAAATTAATCATCCGTAGATACTTTCATTCCAATTTAATGGTCAAAATTAGTAAATTACCGTTCATCCTTGTAATACTAACTTTAGGGTGTAACATAATGAATTACATCCTTGTTTAACATTTACCAACCAATAAATTAAGGAAAGTAAAACTATATTTTCAAAATACAGCACTAAACCATCTATTTTTCCCCTTAATTTTCTCGTCAGAAAACACCAATATGAGCTTCGTTACGTTGTACATGATCAAATCTTTTTTTCTCTCCTCTTCCTAGCAAATAAGGGAGAGTAAGATATCTATAATTCATCTATCCCTTGTTCGTAGGAAGAACATAAAAAGTTGTGTTTAGGACAATCATGGCAAAATGTAGTAAATACATGGTTGTGTATATGCTAGCCGTCCTCTTCTTGTTCGTTACCATAAGTTGTAATGAAGAGGATGCCGTTGAAGATGATGTACCGAAACCAGGAACGCCTTCTAGCATTACCTTTGATGGGCGATCCTTGTTTATCAATGGAAAACGGGAGCTCATCTTCTCCGGTTCAATCCATTACCCTCGTGTTCCTGTCGCGGTATGCATGAGACTTTTGTACTCTTTTCATGACTAGGGCAATTTAATTAATTAGCAAATTTTTTCTTAATTATATAATGCGTACTAATAGCAATGTCACATTTTGGGGTTTATTTAATTTAGTTGTGGGATAGCATCCTTGACAAAGCTAAAGAGGGTGGCCTAAATGCAATCCAAACTTACGTCTTTTGGAACATTCATGAGCCAATTAAAGGACAGGTAACTCACTATTTAACATCATATCAAGTATGTCTTTTGACTATACAATCATTACATTTGTACCCCGAATTACACATACTTTATATAATACCATACCACCTTAGCTTTATATGACGGAGTTCATAATGTTACGTTTTCATTACAATGTAATGACATGTTCATTTTTAGTCCAATGTACAATCAATGACGGATTTGGTAAAGTTTATTTTCATATCCCTGTTGCAGTATAACTTCACAGGCAATTATGATTTGGTGAAATTCATAAAACTAATCCGTGAAAAAGGAATGTGGGCAGTCCTTAGGGTTGGACCTTTCATCCAAGCTGAATGGAATCATGGGTAATAATACTTTAGTATAAATTGCCAATATTTTCAACATAATTGAGTAATAGTACTATAAATGCTTATTTTGCTTAATATGAAATTTTGGCCTTGTGACAGTGGACTTCCATACTGGTTAAGAGAGGAGCCAAATATCACATACCGAACCGATAATCCGGCATACAAGGTGATCAATCATAATATATAACCCTGTTTATACTTGAATTCGATCTTAATTAATTAATTATTTACATACTTCGTATCATATTACTTAATGCAAAAAACTAATTAATCTAGTGTATGTAATATATGCAGATGAATATGGAGAAATGGGTCACCCAGGTGGTTAACCTGATGAAGGAAAACAACTTATTTGCTCCACAAGGAGGTCCTATTATGATGGCTCAGGTACTAAATTACCACAATGGTTAGTTAATATTCTCTCTGTGCGTTCGAAATTAATTAGTTGATATTGTGATTTAAACTAGCAACATAACAACTAAATCCAGGTGTGGAGGAGGTTATATATGAATGTTTTTTTGCTTTATTTATAAAATTTATTCTACAATTGTCCTGTTTTTGTAGATTGAGAATGAGTACGACCATATAAGAGACGCCTTCGATGAAGCAGCTGAGAGATACATCAAATGGGCAGGAAAAATGGCTGTTGGCCTCAAAACTGATGTACCATGGCTTATGTGCAAATCTAAAGATGCACCCGGCGAAGTGGTAACATATAAATGATTCAGCTCACAATATATTGAAAACAACAGTTGATATCTTGTTTGATTTATATACTTTGTACGGTTTTTTTTTTTTTTTTTTTTTTTTTTGGGCGAGGCAGATCAATGCATGCAATGGCAGGCATTGTGGAGATACATTCAAAGGTCCAAATACTCCTGGAAAGCCTTATTTGTGGACCGAAAATTGGACTGCTCAGTAAGAAGTTTTACTCTGTACATGTATAAAAATAAAATAGCCTAGGTAACTCTCCTTGTGATTCCCATATGCCGTGAATCTTTTCAGGTATAGAGTTTTCGGAGATGCACCTTCTCAAAGGGCAGCTGAAGATATCGCCTTTTCGGTGGCTCGTTGGTTCTCAAGGAATGGAAGCCATGTTAACTATTACATGGTAAGCAATCTTTACGGTTTTTTTTACTATATACCCTTGAGTTTTTTGTTTATTCACCATATACCCCTGAAAATTTTCAAATTCACCATATACCCCTGAGTTGTTACAAAAATTCACAATATACCCTTAATGATAACAAGATGATGGAATTTGATTAATTATACATCAAAACCACCTAAGATCTCCCCCCCATCCCCGAAACCACTCATCTCCTTTCTCTAACCCCCGAAACCACTCCAAATCTCCATAACCATATCCGTATGATTGATTTTGAGGATGAGAAAAGGAAATTTAGGGTGGTTTTGAGGGTGGGAAAAAGGAATGTGGGTGGTTTCGGGGGTAGGGGAATATATTTAGGGTGGTTTCAGGTTATTATAAACCCTAATGACTAACAAAGTTAAAAAATCATTAGACATCGACATCAGGGATATATGATGTATTTTTGTGAAAATTCGGGGGTATATGATGAATTTTAAAAAGTTTAGGAGTATAGGGTGAATAAACAAAAAACTCAGGGGTATATGATCTTTATTTGTGCACCGAAGAGCATAATTTGCATTATGCTCTTGATCAATATTCTTATCAATATACTTACATGCATGTTCTCTGTGGCGAATCTACTCATCTAATATCTTTTAAGTGAGTTTAAAATATTAAAATCAACTTTGAATCAAATAATATAAATTTAATAATATAAATCATTAAAAAAAATAATGCATTTTTCTAGTGACTTACAAAACAAATATAATTCAGCGAGAAACAACTATGTATTTTGCTATGAAAATAATTATGAGTACAATTTTGTTTTTTAAATTCATTACTTAAGTGTGTATATATGGTTTTTTTTTTTTTTTTTTTTTTTTTTTTTTTTTTTTTTTTGTATATGATTAATAAGGTAACTCTAATATGTTTATATAATATATATGCTGAATTTAAGCTTGTGTAATCTATCAGTATTATTGTTGAAATAAAATAAACAAAATATTAAAATTATCAAAAGGTTATAAAAATTAATGGTTATTAAAGGTTGACGTGTTGAGAAATAATCAAAAGATTGACCTAATAAAAGCTAATGGCAAAAAGGTTGATTTAATATTTACAAAATTTCCAATTATTTATGCATTAACAAATTATGTGAAATTATTTATAAAATAACAAATTACGTGTAACTACGTAAATATTATATTGCACATAGTTAACTCATATAATTATGTGTATTGATACATTATTTAAATTTGCATATTATTATTCTCATATTAAATAATTTAATGCTAAATAAATTATTATTTCTTTATTTTATAAATATTTTTAAAACTAATTTTCAGTTAAAAACAAGTGTGCTTTGAACTTATATGTGCCCCTGCATGTTCTTATATGTAATAATTTGCGATCTTATATACTAAACGTTTAATTGTCATATATGTAGTATCATGGTGGTACAAACTATGGAAGAACTGCTGCCTCTTTTGTCACCACGCGCTACTACGATGAAGCCCCAATTGATGAATTTGGTATTAAGTCTTTTTAATGTTTTCCCCTATTACATCAATATATATTGTACATAGTTCATCACAAGGATGATTTTTTGAACTCTTTATTGATAAATTTGGTAATAAAGCTTCTTAATGATCATTGTTAGGTCTAATAAGAGAACCCAAATGGGGTCACTTGAAGGATTTGCACCAAGCTCTTGTGTTAGCCAAGAAGCCCATTCTTGAAGGAAAGCTTCGTGTCAAAAAGAATGGTTTTGATTTTGAGGTATAACTTAGAATAGTGATTAAAAAAAAAAAATAGTGCTAATCCCGTATGAATTTAGTTGTCATATTATCAATTCAAATAACTTTAGCATGCTATATTTTTTGGACTTAAAATAAGAGTAGTTGGTTTTAGAAGTTAACAAATCAACGCAATTTTTAATAATATATCATGTATGTAAATGGGCAGGCGAATTTCTATGAGAAAGGTGACCTTTGTGCTGCTTTCCTATGGAACAACCACACCCATGAAGTAAAAACAATGAAATTCAAAGACAAAGAGCATGTAGTTCCACCCAAGTCTATCAGCATCCTACCAGATTGCAAGACTCTTGTCTATAATACCGACTATGTGAGTAGTAACATTGTGATATATAGGCCTATACTTAAATTTGTTCTAACCAAAATATATGGATGTTTAATTATTTTTCATTTTATCAACCTCTTTGTGCTATGTGAAACGAAAATCGTTTTCTCTTAATTTGACAAACAGATGGTAGCTCAACATAGTGCAAGAGAATTTGTCAAGTCTGAGATAGCACATAGGACCCTGAGATGGGAGAAAACGACGGAGAGCATACCAAGGAATGGTGTCTTCTCGAGGGAACCTAAAGAACAATACTTTGTTACCAAAGATAAAAGTGACTATTTGTGGTACAGAACCAGGTAAAAAATATTAAAAGCTACCAACGTTATACTTCCTC